TAAAAAACATATTTGAGCAGAGCTCTGTTTATGTTTTAAGACAAAAATAAGACACTCATGAGAAGTAAATGGGGCAGTGGCTCTAAGCGAATATGATACAACCACCTTTAAGTAAGAACAGAGCATGGAAAATTCACGACAGACAGATCCTATTCAGCATGTCAGATGGTTATTCAAACAACAAAAAAGCCCAAGAGTCCACCTCTAAGCGGCCACATTACTCAGCGTGAGTGCACCCTGAAGAGCCTGCTGTGTATCTTCAGAAGTAATTCAAACCATTAACCACAACTGAACACGTGTTGGAGGGAAAATCCGAGGAAGGCAGAGATCTGTTGCAATAATACAATAAAATCCCCACTTCCTGTCACCTGGAAATGTTTAAAGCTGACCAGCTCTGGTTCAGAGGCAGAGAAACAGGCTGGAGGTTCAATACCAGAACAGGCCCCTCAGGGAGGAAAGAACAGCAAATGCATGTCTGGAAAATGAATAATGTGCCTTCTACTGGAGAAAAAAAGAGGATCCCCTGAACGGCTGACTCCTGAAATACAGATTTTGGTGAAAACACGGCACTTCCTGATGGAATCCTAATCATCCTCTGAGGCAAACGTGGGAGACTGAGGGTTAAATCTCTCACAAAGTCAGAAAAAAAACACGCACAACTCATCTAAGATGGAAGGCTGTTTCCGGCTGGAAGCTACCCATTTATTTCTGCAGGGATGAAACTGAGAGTTCAAGCATCAACATCACTGAATCAGAGCTAATAAGCACTCATATGTGACTTTTAGACAACAACCTTCATTTGAATCTAGGGGGCCGTGAGGTCTCTAAAAGACCAGAAACTCAGAGGAGTGAGGCACAAACAAAGGGCTGAAGCTATATTTGATCCTTGTTCTGAAAAGAACGCTCATAAACAGGCCTGGTGCTGAACATAAACACAGCCTTCATCGCAAAGCGTGGATAAAGGATGAGTCGAACTAACTTGTTTCTTTTATGAGATTAAAGGAAAGATGTGTTCCAGTAATTTTACTGTGTGTGTTATTCTGCTGGTCACATGCTGGAACACGGTCAGGAACAACACTCAGGAAGGCTGTGGTGTTTAAAGGATCCATGACACCACCATCATCCTGAACCATACAGGGCAGGATGGAGCCGTGCTTTCATGTTGTTTCATGCCAAATTCAGACTCTATCTTCCAAAAGCTGCAGTGGAAATCGAGACTCAGAGATTTTGGTAAATATTGACATGATTCAGGATTCATGACGAGAATCTCCTGTTCAGTCTCCCGCTTTATTGGATTGAGGTTTGGTGACCGTGGAGGCCATTTAAGTATAGTGAACCAGTCTGAGGTGATTTGAGCTCTGGGCCATGGTGTGTTATCCTGCTGGACAATATTCAAGTAGCCAGTGGTGTTTCGAAAACTCATCCAGCGGTGCAAGCCCGGCTAGCTCAGTCAGTAGAGCATGAGACTCTTAATCTCAGGGTCGTGGGTTCGAGCCCCACGTTGGGCGTTAGTGTTTTAGGACTTTACGGTCTAGTACAGATAATTGCTATAAAGTCTGCCTAATTGTGAAAGCTGTTAGTCAGAATGTATTAATCTGCACACTGTGTAATCCACAGTTCATCCAGTGTGCAGATTAATACATTAATACAAGCTGGTGGCTTAGTGGTAAATGACTGGTACTTGATAGGAGCTCTTGCAATGACTTCTTACCACTAGCCTCACTCACACACACAAGCTTTATTAACCAAAAGTTCACATTCAGAGGATTCATTGACTGTCAAGAATTTGTCAACATGCAGACTACAGAATCTGAGGATTCAACCAAAAACCTTCACAATTAGGAGACAACCTCCACACCAAGATTCAGTATGATGCCCAAAGCTTGTTTTTCAGCAGCTTACATGACAGTAAACTGATGTAAGTTCTGTCTTAAAAGAGAATCGCCCAACGTGGGGCTCGAACCCACGACCCTGAGATTAAGAGTCTCATGCTCTACCGACTAAGCTAGCCGGGCTTACACAACCTAAACTACTTTCATTTCCAGGGGTACAACATACCATATAAGCAGGTCATCATCTTGACCACATCGACATGAATAGATGCATCAATTTACTGCCAGGAGGCTGATTAGATATTTGAATCACTGCAGGAATTTTAATTCATTACTCAAGAGAAGAAAATGCAAGTCTGGCTCAGTTCCCATGTAAAAAAAAAGAAAGAAAACAAAGGTTCTAACACACCAAAGTTCTAAGAATGACAAAATAATTAGTGGATCTACAAACAAATAAATAGTACAAAACACTGTGTAAGGATGGGCGGATGGATTTTTGCTAGATAAGCTCAACAAGTCTTAATGGATGTTGCTAAGTAATAGGCTAATAAGTAATAGCACCATAATGCATTAAGTAAAAACACTTAGGAAATAACTTCCTCAAAACAGACCTTAGTTTAGTGCCTGTACACATTAATAATGTATTTTCACAAGTGTTGTCTAATTGGCTGTAGTCAGGGCATCAGTAACTGTAAGTGGACTAAAAATACCTTTGGGGGAAAGGGGGGATTATGCATGTAAAAAGCCCTCGAAAACCAGAAAACTAGCCTTTGTGGCCACAGCAGAGCGCATGCCTTTGTCACCCAGCACAGCATCGCCCCTCCTTTGTCTTTGCTTCAAGCCCTGAAGTAACTCTGTGTACGAGTGTACGAATGTGTTTATGTGTGTACAGTTAGGCATCTGTGTGTGTGTGTTGTGCTGTGTGTCCCCTGTTGGAGCGTTTATGCTTATTTAGTGCTCACCGCTCTTCGCCCTTATTCCTCGATGATTCGCTTATGTAAGAAATCAGCGCAAGCCTCTCTGAGCACCGTCTCCAATGAATACAGCAGCTACACAAACGCACATAAAAGAAGCCTATTATCTAATCACTGTTCACCCAGGCTGGAGTCTAGACTTGAAAGGATTCACAGAACTGGACTCAGTACATTAGTTCATAACAGAGCACTTATTTTCAGTGGCCAAATCTTGAAGTCATTCCACTTCCTGGATCGCTTACACTGGTAGAGGCCTCACTTTAAGATCCTATCCAATCCATGCAGATAAAGCTGTTATTCTGATTGGCTGCTTAATGTAAACAGAAGGTTTGTACTAGAGGTGGGTGGGGCTTCGGTGCTCTGCACTCACTGACATCATATAGAGTTATTGGTAAAAAAAGAAAAAAGAAATCTGAAACCAAGTGTTTAGAGAGGTCTAAAGCTACTGTCATCATCTGAGGATTGAACCACCAACCCTTGTCAAGGAGGAAACAACCTCCTCTATGCCCTGAACGATAAGACCTTCCACTTGATGCATCAGGACTCGGTGTTACGCCAAAGGAAGCTTCTCCTCTGCAAAGTGGTAGGAGTGTGGCCTATTCTACCTTCTGAGTAACAGATTGCACATAAGCCAGACTTTATAGTAATTACTTGTAGTTTGCTGAGCCCCTTTTCCATTAGTACTTACTCAGATCGCCACGATTTTAAGGGTTTTCCATTTGGTCATAGTACTTTGTACTAAATGGTGCCTGCTCGCCCGGGCTTCCAAGCAATCCGAGCAGGTCATGCAGGCCACCGATTGGCTGGTAAGTGGCGTCACTCAATGAGTGATTAGAGTGTCCATCCATTTCTGAAACCCGGCAATGAGGAAAATGGCTACAAAAACAAAAACACGATGTGGTAGATACATGAAAAGCCACAGACCGAGCAGCAGGTATATTGTTGCCTCGACGTCCACATTTGTTGAAGCGTTCATGACTCGTACCAATTATGTCACAGGACGCTGGGCTATGTTGCTTTGACGACAACCATTACTTGATTGTAATGGTAAACCAGTTGAGTAAATCCAAGGAGGTATAAATGGAAAAGGGGCATTAAACTGTAAACCATCCATAATAGGTTCTGTCTTAAAAGTGCAGCGCCCAACGTGGGGCTCGAACCCACGACCCTGAGATTAAGAGTCTCATGCTCTACCGACTGAGCTAGCCGGGCTTACAAAAGATTAACCACTTTTGCCTGTTGGGAACATATAGATACAAATAAACAACAGATTAAATTTTACTGAATAAATAATAAAGATTTGGATGACAACCAGACAAGTGTTTAATTCCTTTGCCCCACCCCATTTTTTGGACCATTATCCCCTGCCTCTTGCTTAAATAAAACATGGTAGAGAGCCAATAATGTGCACAAATCCCTCCAGGTGGCTGAGTTGGCTGGATTCACATTGCAGCAGGCCTCCATACTGGGAATATGAAATGAATTAATTAATTAAATTAAACACAGGAGCAACAGGAGCATCCTCGGGAGCAGAAGCAGCAAGAGAGGAGCCACAATAATAAAAACTTACTCATCTGGAATCTTTTTGATCTGACTGAGGCCTGTTTCACGGTTAAAGACATGAAAGCACAGCTTAATGGCCAATTTAAGTCAGTATGGACGTATTAAAATATCTGCAGGAATTCCAAAAATTCCAAAGTCAGGTACGCAGAGACAGAAAAACGGGGGGGACAGACACGTAGAGACAAAGTGGATCCTCTGCGCACGCTAATCCCCCCACACCCTGCACACCTCCTGCATAAGCCCCACTGCTCTTTTTTTCTAGCCGCCACAAGCTAGTTTGCAGCCAAATCCCACAACACATTCTCCCAACTGCTGACATTTTGTTGCAGCCAGTGAGAGAGAGAGAGGGGAGGAGAGGCACCTGACCAACCGCACTGGGAGAGATGGAGGGATTACAGGAGGGAGAAAATGGTGTGAAACCCGGCCGTCCTAAAGAAGCATGCAGCTCTTTCCTCTCGATTATCAAAGGGCTTCGTGTTTTCTGCGCGTGCAGCTCCGTGATGCAACAACAACAACAACAAATGCGCCCTCCCTTTCCCTTTCCCCCGTGTACCAGCTCCCAAGGGGAGCGGGCATGTGTCCACACCATCGCTGTCAAACGCAAAACCGATTTTTAGACGCCCCCTCTTACCTGGCTTCGGGCTCTCCCGTCACCTTCTCCTCTCCGCTTCTCCTCTCTCGGTTATTTAAACGCTTCTCACCGTTTCTCCTTCTCACCCTGCTCCGCATTTCATTTCGGAACGACCGTGTTGGAGGCTCGGGCCGGAGGGAGGATGGATGGTTGGATGGAGAAGAGGCGGAGCGGGCAGAGGAGCGGAAGCCTTTGAAGTGGAGAAATCTGGGTCCCTGCTCGCGTGGACCGGATTTATGTCGTTTCCAAGGCAGCGTCCGTCTAACCCGATGACCGCCAAGCTGCAATCTGGCGTACTGAGAAACCACTTCCGATTTGTCCTTCAAAATAAAAGTCTACTCTTTTTTTTTTAGGTTTCTTACACACAAGTAGGTAAAACGTATTCACACGGCGCGTTTCAAAGATACAAATCACAAAGTGCTTAACAATAATGTAAAGTAATAATTCTTCTGAATCTGAAATACTAAAGAAACAAAAAAGCATTTACAGTGCAGGTGATCAGAGGCACTCGAGATACAGTAACTTACTCAAGGATACGTCAACATATAGAGTAGAGGATTTTGGAATGAACCACTGGCCTTCCGATGAAAAAAAACAGCCTTATTTATGGATCGGGATTAATTACACTCTGCAGACTGGAAGAACCAGAACTTGTTCCTGCTTCCACTATAAGCCAGACTTCACAGTAGATCATTGTAGCTTCATAGCATCATACTTGTGAATGATTTAAGGTCATAGCACAAAACACTAACACCCAACGTGGGGCTCGAACCCAGACTCATGCCTTTCCGACTTAGCCGGGCGCGGACACTGGGGTGATAGTGGACATAGAACTGAAAGTAAGTACACTGGTTGTCTTGTGAGACAAAATACATCCTCTTTACTGCATGAGTCTGTAACCAGCTGTATCCTTTTACTGTCCATTACCAGCTTTTCCATACATCCACTCTCTTCTGCCTATCCCAGCTGTCATAGGGCGAGAGCTGGGGTACACCCTGGACAGGTCGCCAGTCTGTCGCAGGGCTAACACATACAGACAGACAACCATTCGCATTCACATTCACACCTATGGGCAATTTAGAATAACCAATTAACCTAACTCCACTAACTGCCACAAGATAAATAATATCAGCAGGGTGCCATTTCAAGGTAGTAACACTGTGAACAAACAAACAACAACAAAAAAAAAAAAACAAGAAAAAGGGGGAAAAAAGGCAATTTTTCCATGATTTTATCATTTCATCTGTAACTATCAGAACAAGAGCACTCACACAGTATAACTCTCTCCACAGGGTAAGAGCTATAATAAAACTGGATTTATTACGTTTTTATTACAATATGACGACATCAGCCTGCTTTTATATTTCCACATAAATGTGGCCGTGACCTCTGATCTATGTTGGATTACATACTAAAATGGTGCATTTTTCTGTGTTTAACTATCAGATTGGAGAAGAGTTGGCTTTAAAACTTAACCAAAGTAATCCAAAGCTTAGTATGTCATTGTGACGTTTGAAGACAAAGAAAATTGTGGGTAATATAAAACTTTGAGTGGTTTTCACATTTGATGTGGCCCTGACTCAAGCTACTATTGTAAACATTAAAAAGAAGTATGATTTTTCATGTTTTTATCATTTCAGCTATTAAAAAATAGACTGGTCAAGCACAGGATATTGTGCTATAACAATTTTGTCCAAATTTTCCACATATGCTACAGGCCAGGTAACTCTACATTCTGAATGTGCAGTCTCCTTCAGATTTACATTTTATACGAGCTAAAATGTCCATGACTTTTTGTATTTTTAAGAGGGTGTTAAAAAAAAAAGCATTATAAAACAAATGACACGACTATTTCAAAGCATGAATTTCATTTCATGGATTTTAGATTAAAAAGGAATTTTAATGAAATTTGCTGTGAAATAATTAGTGAAATCTGGGAAAATTACAGGGGAGGAGGGACATGAAATGAAAGCCTATAAAAAAATCAACGGGAAGAGGCAAGTCTGATGGCTAGGGCCCAGTTATTTTAATATTGTATTTTCTATTTTGTTTAAGTTGTTTTATTAGTTTGGCTTTTTATGTTTATTTGAAGTTTTTATTTTGTTTTTTAAATTAAGTTTCGTTTCAGAGTGGATTGTCTTGTTACAGTTTTAGTTTCAGTTAACTATAATAATCCTGCCATTTTTTGCCAGCTGAGCTAGAAACATAAACTACATCTCATCATGTCCTTTAGTTTATCTGTTTTATTATTTACTCCCCACCTCCACCCCAGCCTCCTCTTCTGTGCGGACTATGATGCTCACAGAAGGATAGCAGCAAGAGTAAAACGTTTACAAGATGGTAGTGAGAGCAGCTAAACGCTGGTCTGCATAAATATATTTACCTACATTTTTTCAATCGTTTTAAGACCTTTATGCTGACAGCTGAGGCCCTTTAACAGCCGCCGTTTCTCGCTGCTACCTTCCGCTAGCTTGACGCAGCTGTCAAATCAGAGGGCTGCAGCAGATTGGCGAAAGAGCGCGTGCGCTGTCCGAAGCATTCCGACGATTGCCGGCGGCGGCCGAGGACCACCACCCACACTCCGCGTAGCAGAGCGGGGATGAGCAGGCAGAGCCGCCGCAGGCCTCCGGGAATACGACACTTCCATTTAAATACACGTCGATCGGAGGCTCGTTTCTCTTTAATTAAGGAAGAACAACTAGAAAGTATAATCTCTCTCTCTCTCTCTCTCTCTCTCTCTATATATATATATATATATATATATATATATATATGTATATATATATATTACACATTATTGTATTTACACAAAATGGAATCCCCAAACTGTTCCCGGTATACCTGACGTTTAGGACCTTTAAGCCTGTAGCTTGTAGCTATCTTCATTATCGGTTAGGGCCCCTCCTCATCCTTTTCTTCTTCTTTGGTGCAACCCTATAAATTTGGGGAACCTCTTCGGCCTCTCCCCTTTTCTACAGTTCCCCTGTGGGAGAGGTTGGTGTCATTTATTTTCCAACACTAACTATATCTTTATCCACCCTGATGTTACTGATTGTGTGTTCTTAGCTCATCATTTTCATAATTACACCTGTCTTTACTAGATACTGTGAATATGTGTATAAGCACTGTCTCTCTCTCTCCCCCTACATACTCACTCTCTCTCTCACACACACACACACACACACACACACACACACACACACACACACACACACACATATATATATATATATATACACACACACACACACACATATATATACACACACACACACACACACACACACACACACACATATATATATATTCACACATATATATATATTCACACAGATATATATATATATACACACACACACACACACACACACACACACACACACACACACACACACACACATATATATATATTCACACACATATATATATATATATATATATATATATATATATATATATATACATACACGCACACACATATATATGTGTGTGCGTGTGTATGTATTAAGGTTAAGGTTGACTGTTGAAAGAGAAAAATGCTCTTCATATTTTTATCAATGAAATATTCTTTATCAATGACTAAAGACAGTATCTGGAGTCTAGTTTATGTCCTAAATCAGCAAACTGTTCTGTGTTCTTGCTCCAGACTGCTGACCACAGGAGGAAAAAATGACTCACATGTGAACAGCATGTGGTGTGAAGGGACAGGCTTGAAACAGCAATTTAACTAACACCAACCATCCACCTACTGAAGTGAAAAGGAAACTGTATCACCCGTTGGCCCGGTCAGTACAACAATCTCTGTAAAAAGATGCCAATCATGGTATATGGCTTAGCAGTGCAGCTCACGGAGGTGTTGGAGATGCCTTTCATCGGGCCACCAGGTATGCTGTCTGAGCCAGCGTTGCTCCCGGAGCCACTTTACAGCTCCACCTGTCTGTCAACAAGCTGTAAAATCACCCTGGATAAGAAGCAGCTTATCCAGTCCTCATAAATAACCTTACACACTGCTGCTGTGCCCCCTTTCGCCCACAAAGTGGCGCTGTTGCTTCATATGTCACCTCTGTCTCTGTCCTGGGTGCTGACTTCTGTGTCGCTGTCCGTGGTGCTGATTTGCCACCCAGAAAGGAGCTCAGTAAATAGCAAATAAATACATAAACAAACACGATTAATCCTGTAAACTTACCCACATGTAATTATGTGTTTATGTAGCTGTCCACTTTTATTCGCGGGTATTTGGCTCCGTTATGCTTCCCTGCAGTGCCATTATGCTTAATTGCCTATATTAGCATAACCAGGACTTCTGAGGGATGTGTAGGGGATGACTTATTGCATGCAGTATGCTTCACATGTTCTGGCCTGATATACAAGCAGGAAACCTGGATCTGGCAAAGTGAGACTTACTCAGAACAGGTGAAACAGAGGACAACGGGGGTGATGTCATGCGGTGGCTCGTTCTCATTACCTGTTGTACTTGTGGAGATTCATGACATTGTAGTTGTTCATTACCACTCTGATCACATTGTTTGGGTTGCTCTGCTGCCATCTTGTGACTGAGAATCAAATGATAAACCCTGTGAAGCTACAGACTGTGGGGAGGACGCCACTGGCTGGGAGCAGAACAACTGTAGGTGGGAGGGAGGTGAAGGGAAAAGATGAAGTGAAGATAAGGAGACTGCTGATTGATTATGATGATTGTAATGACGTGTATTAAGGTTGGATCCCTTCTTATTGTTACTGCTAATGAAAATTGTGGTATGAGATGCGTGACTTGTTTTCAGCCTCTGAAATGAAAAAGAGTGAAAGAAAAAGTTTCAGAAGGGACATACAGATCTACTTATTTTTTAAGCTTGTGTAGGCTTCTTTTCCAATAACCTGAGCACAAGCCAGTGAGAAGTGATGATGAAGATTGAGAGAGGAATGGGTTTCTTAGGAGGTTTGCTGGTGGGAAGAAATGTTTCCTATGCTACACTCACGGGAGGAAAAATAGAGAATAACCATTATTGTGAGTGTGTGCAATCAACTCGTTGCCATTGAAGTGGTTGCCTCAAAGATGAGGACCAGGTATGTGACCACTCATAGCTACCATCTTCAAAGCAAAAGTCAGTCTGCTCTCAACTTGCAGCTGAATGAGGTCAGGTTGACCCTTACATGCAATTTGTTTTTGATAATATGTTAAATAACTGGGAATAACTGCAAGCCCGTTGTGGTACACCTAAAGAGAAATTCATATTTACTACTCACATTCAGAGTCCAGCCAGATTCATCCA